CTAATGGAAGGTTAAAAGAGGGACAGTATTTGTTACTGTAAGAGATATGCATTTAATGTTTAGATACTCACACAACTGTTGTTTTTTTTACTTTTATACTATACATTATAGTTTTCTTTCTAGAAGATTATGAATTCCATCTAAGTACCAATGTTAATAGGATGTTATATTTATTTTTAATGGAAACTGGGAATTATTTATGTAATGTGCATACATGTGTATCTTAGTATATGGATACAATGTGTATTTCTGTATTTAAAGACTTACAGTTATGATGGTTGATACTTGCATTTAAATTTATAAATGATAATACATGTATCGATAAGTCTACAGGTTATAGATGTTTATACCCAGTGTTAGCTGGCTAATAATTACGGAAGAGTATACTGACCCCCCTTATATATTTTTTATGCCTTCAAGAAAAAAAACCCTTTGTATAATACATATCTTTAAAAAAGTGACAAGTTATATGATATCTAAAATAAATCTTGCACAGTTTTATCTGTTATTATACACCATAAATCACAAATATGCATTGTTTCTTCGATGATATTTGGAAATTTAAGAGAACAGAATGTTCTTCTTAACATACAGTAGTTGTACACTTTAGCCTTTATCATATGAATCTCATGAAAAAAAGATGTATGAATTTATAAATTAAATTAGATTCTCTTGGTATAATAAGTCGCATCTATTATTATAATATTAAATGGCCCTTTTTTCGTTTTGATATAAAAAAAAGCATGTATAATCATTGAAAAAGATGTAAGAAATATTTATAGTATAAGTTACTCAAAGTTTCAATACCATTTATATAATAATAATATATATCAGTTAAATTATAATATTTTATATAATACTGGCAAGATACTCGTGTACGCAAGCGTGTTATCATAACGATCAACTTATGTTAGGAAACATATAAAACATCATCTAAGCTAAAAACCCAGGTAAAGAATATATATATATTATATATAATTATATCATCTCTATATCTGTCAAACAAATAGTGCCTCAAAAACATACTGTTTTCAAATAAATAAAAGCGTTTACATCAAGAAAACGTCTGCTTCTTGAGGTAGAATTTCAATGAAAAGAAGAAAAAACATAATTCTTATAAATAAAAGTAAGGTCTTCAGAAAGACTTAAGTTTATAATACGTATCTTTAACAGTATAGTAGCCAAAAAACAGAAAAGATCAATATGAACTATATATATAAATTTTAAAAAAACATTACGAACTATGTTGTTATCATGTATCGTCGTATTTTAAACAGGCATATAAAATATATAAGGGGGGTCAGTATACTCTTCCGTAAATAATAGTATCTATAATAGAGTTTATACATTATAGTTTTCTTTCCCATCCATTAGTACCAATGTTAATGTTAGGATTTTATATTTATTTAATAGAAACTGGGAATTATTAATGTTATATGTGCATACATGTATATCTAAGTATATTGATATGACGAGACTTATAATATTTCTGTATTTAAAGAGTTACAGTTATGACATTATTATTAAAGGATTGAGACTTTCATTTAAAGTTATAAATGATAATACATGTATTGATTGAAAATGTCCTTAAACTTGGATCAAGCAATACAATTAATAAAGTTTTAAAAAATCTTTTTTTAATTTTTCTCTAACATGTGCATAGTTTGAAAAGGATATCTTCTGTCTTATCTATTTGTAATGAAGGGACACCGGTCTCAACCTCCAGGTCTCCAGTCAACCCGACAAAAGACTTTTCATAGAGTGGATTGTTACTTGCCCTTGAATAAATTTGTGCACTAAATTATATAGTAGGTGATTTGTGCCACATGAAAACCAACAAAGTACTAAAAGTAACCGAGCGCCAGATGAAAATATAATCTACCACAAAGTGGTTCGTTTGTTGCATTTTCATGTTAACGCCCGGTGCCCCTGATGCAAAATACAAATCGGCCTTCATAAAATTTCTTGTCATAGAAAAAAGGGATAGTTATTTTTTTATCTGTACAAAAATAGATAAATTAAATGTACATGCATTAGTACAGTTATGTTCACTGTCAAATTGACCTGTTATAAATAATGGCACAACCAATAACTGTCTAAGCCCTTTTCAGTAAAAATAATTATACAATATATAAATTGTTATTTTGATCAATACTTTGAGTATGTAAACAAAAATCTGGAAGCAAAGTGATCCCTTGGAAGAATTAATCACAACAAAATTACAAGAGAATTGCAGACTCTGCTTGATTGAGTCTGTACATGAGGGATAATGAATATATGCAACATCCCTCACGCCCCCTAGCACCGGCTTGAGCGGTACTCAATTCTCAACACTTAATAGTGCTGGCATCAATGATCCCAAAGGACCAGAAAAATATATATAACAACACTGAAGTGAAATACGGGGCAACATTTTACAGCTGTAAGGTTGTTTTTTCTTATTTGTTTAATTAAGAATAAATTTACTTGTTAATTTAAAAATCTACAAAATCTACAAGTATCTGTCACGGCAGATTTATCAGGACTTACGGAAATATTTTACTAAATTTTACAATCGTAACTTTGATTTAATTTCTAAATTCAATTGTAATTTAAAAACTCTTCAGCGACAAGGGATAAGCCAGCCTGGTTTTTATGGCAATGTGATTTACAAACTTCGTAAGATTTTGGGTCATGGTATTTTTTCTGCTGTTTTTACTAAAATCATTAAACGTTTTATTAAAAGAGTTTATGACCCTACTATTTTAAGACATACTGCATGTTTAGTGTTCAACCCTTTTACAGTTGGATTCTACGCTTTCCTCTTTTAATTACATCTGACGGACCAAGTGGGAGACTCTATGACGGATAGTTCTTAAAGCCCTATGGGACTGAATTGTCTTAATGTTCGTCTTCTGCCTTGCTTCGTCAGGTCCTTGTAGGTGATTTTCTTGTTGCTCTGTCTTCCTTTAGGACATTGAGTACTTTTGTTATGGTCATTGGGTTTACTTTTATATGTTTCTACATGATCAGTTTGGTGTTTTACTTATTTAACCTTTTGTAACCACTAACAACTGTTAGAATTTCACTTGGCGGAGATTCATTTTATTTACACTGTCTCGTTTATAGGAACATGGTGGGGCTAAGAGCGAGGTTTGGTGCACCATTAACCGGTTTAAACTCCCCAGCAGTTATTATTATGCTTCTGACCGTTCCTAGGCGGCGCCCCTCTGTGTTCCTCAGATGTATGTCTATGTTGTTTCATACTGTTTTGGTGACACTTTTGCTTGTGTCCCTTGTTGTTTTCTCATCTACGGTAAGTATCTTCCTCCTTTACCCCTAGTTTTTATTTCTTTGATTATCCCCCCTCCCCTCCCTTCCCCCGGTCTCCTGTCCCCTTTGACTTTGTGGGCCTATTATTCAATCATTTGTTTTCTTTGAATTCCTAATCAGCTACAAATTATTTATCATTTAGTGATTAACCTGTCCGTGCTGCCTTGTGCCCTGTCCTGTTTTTGTTTCTCCTTGCCGCTGGTTCTTGTTGCTGGGTCATATGGGGGTTGCGTTCATTGAACGCCGCCTTCCTTGTTGATCTTGTTTATCATATTTTTAGAACTGTTCACTATTTAGGGGAGAAAATGTGTAAGCAGATAGCTCAATCGCTACAGCCGTGGTACATTATTCTGTGGGTCACAGGTTCGAGTTCTGGTCAAGCTGATAGCTCAGTTGGTTTTCTGACAGTCATGGGTTCGAGTCATGGTCAGGCAGTTTCAGTCAGGGTTTAGAAGTGGTTTTTCAACTGACACACATTTGATTCATTTAACAGATTGTATTAAATTTGAAATTAGGCAGTATTGCTTGATACTTTTAGATCTACAAAAGGCATTTGATACAGTTGATCACACTATACTGCACATGAAGAAGTTCTTCTTCTTCTTCATGAAACTTCAAGCATCTGCCATATAGGTAATGACATTCTTACATGGTTCAAGTCTTATCTCTGATAGACAGCATCTGGTGGATGTGGCTGGTACTCATTATACTACTGCTCCGAGTACCCAATGGTGTCCCCCCCCCCCCCGAGTTTCATTTTAGGTCCTCTTTTATGTCTAATATATGTCAATGACATGTCTGCAACCCTAAGCAATAAGCCTTTATTATATGCTGATGACTCAGGTATCCTTGTATCTGATAAAATAAATCTGAAGAAATTCTCTCTTATGGCATGAGTCTTATAAGATTGGTTAATTGACTATAAATTGTCTTTGCATCTTGGAAAGACAGAGTCTATTCTTTTGGTTTAAGTTTCAACTGAAACTGGGCCTAGCCTCCAGGACACCTGTAATGGTATTACTATAAAGTACACATCTTTTGTTAAGTATTTAATAGGTGCAAAACATGATCAATTCTTTTAGCGTCGCCTTTGATGCTTTGTATCAATGCTTTTCTTGTAAATTATTTATAATATCTTGTGATGTATTACAAATATTTTACTCGTCACAGTACTAATCGCAATAAAAAGATCTGTGTTGCAAAGACTAAAATTAAATTTTCCCAGATCTAACCAGTTAAATGTATATTGTTTGAGGGTCCAGTGGTTTAGTGGTTAAAGTCGTTTAAGGATCAATTAACTCTGCCGCTGTGATTTTGAAACCCCTTGGCGATTCAGAATTACTACCAAGTTATTCAGCTAGCTTTCGTAAAGACGGCACGTGATAAACACACAACATCACCCGTGGTCTTCCTCTGCCAATAAAGATTAGCAATCTTCGGATGAGGTGTTCCGATTGAAAGATTGAATTTTGCCATAGATCTTTGCAGTGCCGGTATAACTTGAAATTGAAACATTTTCAAATATAGACTCCTGCTAACATGTCCCCTTTATGACACAGCACACACTAATCGGAAAATATACAGAAGGTTGTCGATGATACATTGTATGCGTAAACGGAACTAAGCAACCAGGAAAAAATGCTTGTATATTTTGACAAAATTTATTTATAAAGGTAAAAATCGTAAACAAAGTAAATGGAATATTATAATTTAAAATAAGGGACATACTCATCGCGGTTAATTTGATAAATGTCATTTAATCTATAATCTAACGGATATCTATTCTGTTCGTGAAATATTCTACGTGTGATAATACCTAACACAGACTGGTCAAACCGATGGCAACGGCCATCATAGTCTTTCCTAGAATCACAATACAGTTTATTCTCACTTCCGTCAGGCGCAATGCAGTTTTTGTTCAATGCGCATGTCACCCAAGCTTCAACGGCAACACGTGATACGCGATCAAAATGAAACATGGCCGTCGTCGCCCAGATTTCACCAAAAGGTCTAAATTTACAACGATCTTCGCCGAGGAACTCGTAAGTGCCATTATCAGTATGATGAGTCATGCTAGATGAGCGTCTGTCATTTGTAGAAACTGTGTGAAGAATACTGTACTTTTTGACGTAGTCTATGGCAGGATCAACGATGCTTGTTGCGAATCTGATTGAGCTATCCATCCACCATACAAAACCAAATTCCATAAATAACATCTGTGTTAAATGTAAGAATATATAAATAATTAAAAAACTAATTGGTTCCGTATTGGGACATATTCATCAAAAAATGTAGTCATTTATAAATGACTAGACGTAACGAATGTAATTTGTGATGCTTTTGCCAAACAACTTTCGCGAAAATCTTCTACGCAGCCACTTTAATAGTAATGATAAAATAATAAGTTTAGAGCAAGTGCTGAATACTCATGTATTCATTATGTCAATAATTTTAACTGAACGTGATTTTCGTATTTTTTGTGCTGTTTATCTTATAACTGATAATAAAATGTATATCAACCCTTGCAGTTACCAGATCTATGCGCATGCTTTCTTATCCTTTCTCCAAGCAAATGAACTAGTTTAGATACATGGGTAAACTACACAAATTTCTTTTCATACAAAGTTATTTCACTTCGGTGTAAATGAATTCAGATACTTACCTGAACAATAATTGGCTTAAATGCGTATGTGTTTAATTCCATGACGTGCGGAGGGAAGTTCTCAAATGGAAATCTCCGTATCTCACACTTGCAACTTCTTTTTAACTAAAATAAGAAATACGCAATTAACAACAGTGTTAAGAAAATGAAAACAAATAAGTTTAAAGTAAATTGTGAAATGTAACGAGATTAAAATGTCAGAAATAGTTGTCGATCGTTTCTGAAAATATATATTTTATACTTAGGTTACTTAATGATTCTTAAGAAGCCGTATTTATATACTAGTATAAGGTAGCAGGTCTCAGAATGGATCCTGAATTTCAAAGTACTTAAGCTAAATGGAAGGTAAGTTAAGCACAATCTTGACATTTAAGACAAGGGTCCTGATATATATACAATGTATATAAACATTACATTCAAGTCAAGAAAAAAATGTATGACGGAATTAAGGACCTTAGAACAAACGGTTCAAAGTGCCCACCTTTTTGTCCATAAAAAGGGGTGGATTCTTGACAAAAATGAATGATATGTAAGTCAAATTTCTATAACTAAATCAAATACTAAAGAAGGATAAATTACAGCCTTGGCTGCATATAAAACATCGGTTACGACGCAGCCAACATAATGGGTTTGCGACCAGCATGGATCCAGACCAGCCTGCGCATCCGCGCAGTCTGATCAGGATCCATGCTGTTCGCTTACCGACTCTATAACAAGTAGAGAACCGATAAGAACAGCATGGATCCTGATCAGACTGCGCGAAAGCGCACGCTGGTCTGGATCCATGCTGGTCGCAAACGCACTATGTTGGTTTTGTCGTGACACGGCTCATATAAAACATCGGTTACGACGCAGCAGACGATGAAATTAACTGAAAATAATTCTGTAAAAAATAACTATTATTACCTTAGTATATTGTAATGACGTCATGCCAAGATCATAAACTATTACATGCAGGTCAGTTCTGTTGCCTAGAAACCTTTCGTGAATTGATTTAAATAATCCTTGAGCACGATAGAAATATTTATTATCAAAGGCAGTCGCGAAAACTGGAAACGTTCTCATTTTATCAGGGCCGGTTTTGTGTACACCAAGTTTATGAAAATATTTCTCAGCAGCACCACGTGGATAATTCATAAGCACTGCCAGGTTGTCCCGTAGAGTTTTATTGAACGTTTCTTTGCACTGGAAAGAAATCTCTGGAAAAAAAGAGAAAAACTTTACAATAAAATTTACAAAATAATGTACGAGTTGTATAAAACAATGTATAAGTTGTATAAAGTTACGTATAGGTTGTATAAAACAATGCAAAGTTGTATAAAAACAATGTTTTTTTTTTTAACAGAATCGTCACCAAGTTACTGCATGAGATGCACCGGGGATTCGAACCCATGACCTCGATACTATTGTACGGAATACCGTTAGGGCCATCGTGGTTATACTTTATAATTCAGAGGGCAATAGTGCGATGACGACAATACGATAGTGCGATGGCGACAGTGAGATAGTGCGATGGCGACAGTGCGATAATGCGATGACGACAGTACGATAATGCGACAATGCGATGGTGACAATGCGATGTCGACAGTGCGATTACGCGATGGCGATAATGCGATGGCGACAATGCAATAATACTATCGCATTAAAATAAGTATAAAATACACGGAAAATGTAATGAACTGTGTGAAACTTTAAAGTCGAGAGAATTTTTGATGAAAAGGATGTTATATTGACATTCAAAAGATATTTAATTGGTCAGTAGAACATAGAGGATATTAAAGTTTTTTAATATGTTTAACCCTTTACCTCATATAGAGAAGTAAAAGATAAATAGTAAAAACAATGCCCTATTTTATCCCCAAACACTTGTACTCGATTGAGAAATGTTATTAAAAAGTGGTCACTTTTTTGCGGCGCACAGTAGGTTAAATCTGCTGACCATATAGTTTAAGAAGGAAAGCAATTTTTACTAATATTGCAAAATAAATTAGTATTTCACGGCAAATATCATTTTCCTCTCATTGTACATCAGCAGTCTCTGAGCGTCAGTTTGGTAGGTAGTTGGTAGTTGGTTATTTGTAATCCCCCACTACCTACCAGCAGGTAGTTGGTTATTTGTAATCCCCCACTATCTACCAGCAGGTAGTTGGTTATTTGTAATACCCCACTACCTACCAGCAGGTAGTTGGTTATTTGTAATCCCCCACTTCCTACCAGCAGGTAGTTGGTTATTTGTAATCCCCCACTACCTACCAGCAGGTAGTTGGTTATTTGTAATCCCCCACTACCTACCAGCAGGTAGTTGATTATTTGTAATCCCCCACTACCTACTAGCAGGTAGTTGGTTATTTGTAATACCCTACTACCTACTAGCAGGTAGTTGGTTATTTGTAATCCCCCACTACCTACCAGCAGGGAGTTGGTTATTCGAACTTTGCATGTTTTCTCTTCACCCCCTTCTCCCCAAATTAAACCCAGTTTTTTCCAGTATAAATAAAATGGATATACGACAGCAAGATAGATGTGTTTTTTGTTTATCAACATTGAAACACCTTGTCTCACTAAGTCCACCAGCGGAAACAGTTGGCTAAAGTACAATATGCTGACCAGTTAAACTTATACGTGTAGTAGAATCTGCTGACCAGTTAAACTTATAGTGAAAATTGATGACTAATTATGTTAGATAGAAGAAAATATTATTTTTTTACAATGTTAGTAATATAATGAATTCTACATCTTACAAAACAATAACACCACTAATGACCAATAACAATTTAATAGATATTACTTAAGTGATTTTAGCAGTATTTTATAGCGACCATTGCTGACCAGTTATTTTTATTAATCATGAACTATATTTGTATTTGTCGAGAAAACTTATGTATGACTGACCAATAAAATATAAGGAATCTTTTTATTTTGTATTTTATACAGACTGTTCAAATTTACATTATTATCATTATCATTTTCCATTACATAATTTTATTTTTGTACACATTTTTGTAATATGATCTATGAATTTGTTTGTCTTTTTTATATAAGTAAAAACAATTATTTCAATTTTTTACATCTTTTAAATGTCAACAAAACATCATTTTCATCTGAAATATTTCTACTATATTAAAGTTTTACACAAATTCTTACATTTTCCGTGTCTGTTTAACTCTTTAAGTATTTCCCCTATCTTTGGATATAAAAATTTTTTTTAGACATTTTTTGTGTACAGAAAAGAAACAAACAAAAAATAATAATAAAAAGGAAAAGAAAAAAAAAGAAAACAAGAAGAAAATGATTTACTGACAAATTTAAAGTAAAATTATTTTCCCATATTCTATACCGTCAGCTTATTCGTCAGCAGTTAAGAACCGCACACGGGAAGGCGATAGTCGACAATGCGATGGCGACAGTGCGACGGCGACAGTGCGATGACGACAGTACGACAATGCGATAGTGCGATGACGACAACACGACAGTTTGATGACGACAATGCGACCATGCGATGGCGACAGTGCGATAACACTTTCACCCTGTCGTCATCGTACTATCGCATTGTCGCCATCGCATTGTGGCTATCGCGCTATCGTATTGACGTCATCGCACTGTCGCCCTCTGTATTTAAACGTATAACCACGATGGCCTTAACGGTATTCCGTACTATTAAGCCATGTTTATGCCAAACTTTGAACACCTTCAGATGTTTTAAGTATCAAAATAAACGGGTTTTTTTTCTGTCATTATATCAAGAATTTATGATTCGACTTTCTTATTGAACGAAATTTATTACGTTATCAAGAATTTATGATTCGGCCGTTTTATACTACATGTAGCTGAACGAAAGTTATTACCGGTGTAAATGTTGAGTCATTCTTCGCAAAAAAGTTTCTTTCATTTTATATCAAGATAGAAATTTTAAAATTTGTGTATACATCAACTTAAATTAAAGTCAAATAAGGCATTCAGATAACCCTTTATCAAGAAAACTTTCCACTTCAGACTTGACATATATATTGTTTGTTCATGAAAGGGCGCCAGTCTAAATGAGCAGATACTCTATTTTCCAAAGTTGTGCCCCCTTTTTTCATCAGTTACTGAAATTTTAACCCTTTTTGTCAAGGTCCGCTTTCTCAAAGTGATTCACTTTAAATTTGATATAACTGTTCACTTTCAAAACATGACACAATTTCAGAAGGGCAGATAATCATAAATTCATTTTTGCAAAGTTATACCCCCCTTTTCCATGTTTTTTTTTCTTCTTTTAAGTTCAGTTTTTTTTTTTAAATTGGAATGCATTTCTAAATGACTGGTTATCTTTTAACTCATTTTTTTCATAGTCTTGTCCCCTTTTCACTTTAAATTTCTTTGTTATTTTTATGGTATATTTCGCAAAAAAGTATCAAATATATTCACACATATTCTTTTTGAAATGAAAGGGAGAGATAATCCTGAAAGCCGTCTTTGCGTTATTATTTTCCTTGTTTGACTTAGAATATTTGCCCTCTTCTATTAAACCGTTAAAGATATTCATTTCAAACTTGAAATATCTGTTGTCTATGAAGGGCACATAACTCTAATGTGCACGTTTGCAGAGTAATGCCTCCTTTTCTATGTTATTTTTATTTAACCACCATCCAGCATTGAGTAAAGTGGAGCGTACAGACCGTGGTAGATAATGGTACAATCTATAACACTGTCTTGCGTACTTACCTTTGGTTCTATCGTCGGGAATAAATCCAGGCGGAATTAAGTTTGGTAAAACAATATTGAAGTCATACTTCCTTCTACCTGAAATGAATAAATTATTTTTATGTTGCTTAGTATTTAACAGATGTAAGCTTGCATTTTTTGTAATACCTTAGTTTTTATTGTGCGCTGCACTGCTGATTTTCAAATTACTTTATAAGAATTCAAAATGATAATAAAACAGATCTTTCTTGATAAATAATTTGTTTGTTTTGATTTTGTTTTGCTTTACAAGATTTCTTACTACTATGACTATATACTAAGACATCATTTCTGGTATAATTATGTTATGTCAAGATTTTTTTACCAGGATGCCTTAATGCTCTTACAATGTACAAGATTCCTTACCAGTATGATTTTATGCTACGACAATTTTTTTTTACCAATTTGACGACACTTCTAATACTAGTATATGCTATAACCAAGATTTCGTACCAGTATGACTTTATGTTAAGATACGATATATCAGTATGACTTTATGCGATGACAAGATTCCTTACTAGTGTTACTTTATGATATAATATATGACAAGACTTTTTACCAAAATTTCCTACCAGTATCACTGTATGTTAAAACAAGTTTTTTATGCCCCCACAATGTGGGAGCATATAGCGTTGCACTTGTCCGTCCGTCAGTCCGTCAATACGTCAGTCCGTCCGTCCGTACGTCCCGAAATCTTGTGAACGCAACTCCTCTAAAACCGGATGGCAGATTTTGCTTAAACTTACAGGGATGAACAACTTTTATGTGTAGATGGTAGTAAAGGAAGGAATTTTCGCTGTGACCAAATTTAACAGAATTATGGCCCTTTGTTGATTTTTTCCCTAGATACTATGTTAGAAATTTTTGTGAACGCAACTCCTCTTAAACCGGATGGCAGATTTTGCTTAAACTTACAGGGATGAACAACCTTAATGTGTAGATGGTAGTAAAGGAAGGAATTTTTGCTGCGACCAAATTTTAACAGAATTATGGCCCTTTTGTTGATTTTTTCACTATATATACTATGTAGAAATTTGTGAACGCAACTCCTCTTAAACCGGATGGCAGATTTTGCTTAAACTTACAGGGATTGAACAACCTTAAGGTGTAGATGGTAGTAAAGGAAGGAATTTTCGCTGCGACCAAATTTACAGAATTATGGGCCTTTGTTGATTTTTTCACTATATACTATGTAGAAATTTTGTGAACGCAACTCCTCTTAAACCGGATGGCAGATTTTGCTTAAACTTCCAGGGATTAACAACCTTAATGTGTAGATTGTAGTCAAGGAAGGAATTTTTGCTGCGACCAAATTTAACAGAGTTATGGCCCTTTGTTGATTTTTAGTTTTCAACTTGTGGCACATGTAGTCCAAAAAATATTTGACCTAGAGTCATAAAATTGACAGAACAGTGGCGTGTGGGGGGCATCCGTGTCCTATGGACACATTTCTAGTTTTCTTCAGGATTGACTATATGCTTTCCAGTGTGACTAAATGCCATGACAATATTTCTTAACAGAAAGATCATTTGCTAAAACAAGATTTATCATTTGTATGACTTATGCTAAGACATTATTTCTTCCCAGTATTACTATATGCAAAGACAATTTTCTTTCTTACCATAATAAGACAAGATTTTTTTAACAGTGTGACTATTTGCTATGACACGTTCTCTTAATAGTGTGACTAAATGCCATAACGAGATTTTTGAACAGAATGACTATATGGTAAAACAATTTTTTTCTACCAGTATGACCTTATGTTAAGACAAAATTTGTTACCAATATGTCTTTATTTATGACACGTTGTCTTACCAGTGTGACTAAATGCTTAGACAATATTTCTTACCAGTATGACTTTATGCTAAGGCAAGATTTCTGACCAGTATGACTAAATGCTATATATGACAAGTTTTCTTATATAAACTAGAGCTATGATAAAATTTCATACCAGTATGACTATATACTATGACAGGATGACTTTATGTTATATATACCTATACATGTTATGGTGAAATTTCTTACCAGTATGAATAGATGCTATATCATTTGAAAGGACTGGCGAAGTTTTCTGATAATCTAAAATAAAGAAAATAATATTTTTTTAAACTTTAATTTACAATGACTCAGTGGTTTGTCTACAATATAGCGTTTTATGTGACGTTAGAGGATAGCAATCATTATGTCACATACAACAACACGTTTCGTCCAGCTTTAAACGACCCTCGTTAGTTTCCGGGTGGTGTCGGGTTTTAGTTATTATGTTTGAGATCTTTATCTAGAGTATTTATTTATTCAGTATAATAAAATAAATACCACACCTAGAACCAACTGTCTACCTTAGGCAAGATAATGTCTATCTGTTAAATCACTTGTCTCGGATGAACACTTCATTCTATTCCCCTCAGTGGGATGTAGTATTGATTTTATGTTTGTTCAATTTTCAGTTCAAGTTTAGTGAAGCTTGACTTTTATAACAAAATAGAACAAATGTCTCATCAAGATTGGCCAAGCGACTAAGTAGTTTCATCAAGACTGGCCAAGCGACTTAGGAGGAGATGTCATTCAAAGCTTAGTTTTAAATTCTGGCAGCAATCTTTTCAGTTTTTGTAAAGGTTAAGATGTGGTGGTGTTGGTGTTGACACCTAGTGTACCCTCCGGATCACGATAACGGGCCACGTTGAATTTACCAGAGCACAGTTCAGCCACGGCATCGTTCCTGGGAAAGCTGTCAAGCCGTTTACCAGTATTAGTTGCCTTCACTTTCGCAAGGAATTGATGACTTCTGTACATGCCAGAGAAGAGGTACAGTGAGAATGACCATCGAAAGGACTTCATGATCAATCAAACCGCCAACAACCTGCGTTGTCCGGGAATCGAACCGGGAATCGCTCGATTCCCAGTCGAACGCTTTACCTATTGAGCTAACCAGACCGCTGATAGTTAAAAGGACAAGACGCTTCCTCATGACATTATTATTGCTGTAAAGTTTCATCAAAATCTACCAAGTAGTTGAAGATGAGATGTCATCGGAAGGTTTTTTCTCTCTACTTTTAGCACCGGTGGCAATCTTGTTCAGTGGACCTGAACCATTTGGGTAATATAATAATTCATAGAGGACCACTTAATAATCATTCCTGTATAGTTTCATCACTATTAACCAAGCGATTTAGTAGCTTAAGTAAAATTGTTAATGACTGACGACGGACACAGGGTTAGCCTGTGCTCCGATGAGATAAAAAGCGAAATTTTATAGGGGTTTAGACGATAGTAAGTTAAATGATCGGACAGTTTTAATGTTATTAAAATTAAAGACTTACATGTCCAATTACCTCCAGTAATGTATGTTTTGGAAACTGACAAATGACTGGCATAGATTGTGACATCTGAAATAGATATTTAACATTTATATTGTACATGTACTAGTCTATTAGGTCGTTGATTAATTCGTAAACAAATAGTTAAAAAAGTAGAAATTAAAATATTGCGTGCTGTAATGTATAGTAAAGTTATATAATTTATGTATATCTTTATTGCGTATATCACTAGGCATACTTTGGGACTTTGGGAACATATTTGGAAAATCTTCCGTAGATCTACTTTGAAACACCAATTTTGCCCAAACTGGCCGAAGTAGTGAACTATTCATTTATAGACCACGTGACTAAAAATGAAAATACCCGAGCAAAGACCATGTGATATTCAAACTGTTTAAAGATGTCCAGATCTAAAAATATATAGTTTATTAATATACATGTTTGGTGGTTGTCCGGTTTACATGGTTATCAACCAGTACAATAAATTGAATAGTCAATCTTTTTAATTAATTCAGCTCAAAACATCTGGAAACAAAGTGACAATAAAAAAATGTGTATAATATATCTAATGTCACTCATAATTCTAAAATCGTAAATTCCACTCACCTTTTGTTTTAATCATATACATAAACATCATCACCATACATAGACAGACAAATCCATATACAGCATACTTCGCCATACCTTGAAATATAACAATTTATCACATAAACCGCGGCGCAGGAGTGTAATAAGGCCAATTAATAAAAACGATATTACACTAGTGTAATAACACTTTGAATCGACGTCATTTGCGCTATACAGAAACATAGCGTTAAAGCGCGCTAATGTTAGCGTTACACTATAGGCGCGTCATTGACAAATTACTCATTTTAACAGTTTACTGTTCTTATTTTACATATGTGATAAATAGAATATTATATTCTTGTAGATTCAATACTAAATTTATTGAACTCGTTGAATAAAACTATATCATGCTCGCCAGAGGCTCGCAGAATATGATTTTATTCAACTCATTCAGTAAATTTAGTATTAAACTACACTCATTAAATATCCTCTATATACTAGATCTATATAGATATTATAATAATTATGTTATAAAATGTAAACATTAGAGCTACAATGCGCTGCATTGCATTGGTATGTTGAGCTGTACATTACATTACATTCTAACACGACCCGTGTTTTTCCCTATTGGAAATAGAAGTAAGTGTGTATAATTATTACGTTCTATATTTAGACATATGACATAACCATTATACATGTGACTTAACCACTAAAAGGAAAGTAAGTACGGAAGCAAATCAGGCGCAATTTAGCTTAATATCAAATACGGCAACATTTATTTGTTGATGTCGTGATAAAATCGAAATAATATATTCAAATCGGTGATTTTATCGCTAGGCCCTCGTGATGTAATACCTCGCACCCGAACGCAAAAACAGTGATTTTATTTAGCGATAAAATCACTGTTTATAAAATTACAGTAGATTCTAGACTATATTTATGTACAGTGCATATCAAAACAGAACAGTAGCCTAGGGTTTTTAACTTGGCGTCATCAATGTGAAGCTTTACGTGACGTCATTCAGTTATCCGCGGACTGCTTATAGTAGATCTACAGAACAATGAAGTTGAAAATATTTTTTTACGTGACTTATTTGAAAGTTGAATTGAAATTTCTGTTAACGTTCCTTCTAATAAGTAGATCTACAATTTTCTGCAAGATGACTCATGTTTCAATTATCTTCTAAGAATTAGTTAGACCTAGTCCAATATATAAGACGTTACAGGCTTGTTATAGTTTATTTCAGTCAAGTCTGGCATCTAATAGTTATTGCTCAAAAACGCATAGCATCATAATTTTTTTTTTAAAAATGTCTATTGTCTTGCCTTTTAAGCTTTATTCAAAAGCTTATCTTCTTCTCTTTTAATTTCATGCTCAATCATACACAAAAACTCTCAAACAATGTACTTATCAATTTAAAATAAAATATAAACATCAATCTATTTTTGTCTATCAGCCGTACTGGTTAAGCAAGGTGCTTTACAGATTGATTCCAAATTTTTGAACGGAAAAATATATTCAAATACACTGACGGTGCATGGGCAATTATTTCGTTAAAAAACTATTCCGTTAGAGTTAAACGCTTGCAATCAGATTTCGCGCACTATACGGCCGCCATTTGTTAATCGGCTGTAAAAGAAATTTTAAATACATGAAAGGATTTAATCCTGATTTTTCGGATGTGACAGTTTAATTATTTTGACAAAAGATATTTATTTTTTAGTTTTGTTCATAAATAGGTCAAAACTAATGTAAATACACGCTGTCTTGTTTTTCGTTCCGCCCGATTTTCTGGCGGAGCATGCTATGGATTTTTGAGCAATTTCGATATGACGTTGCTTTGCCCAAACCGACGTCATATTTATAGGACTAAGCTAGACCTAGCTCTTATACGTGCATAGCTTCACCAATTCTATCATTTTTATGCCGAGCTACCGAGGTAAACCGTAACATTTAAATTATGATTATATGAGTGGACGAATTATTTTTAACATATGCTTTCTTGCAATAAATTCCTCAATAAAAGTATTGCTTAAACAAATAAGCCATTTCAGTAGCTTCCCCTCACATAGATCTAGTACTATTTCCTGTAACAAATTCGTGAAATTATTTAATAAATTTAAAATAGATATAGGACGGACTGGCGCCAGAACAAGGGTGTTCGTATTTCTGTAATGGACAGAATCGGGGCAAACTGTGATAACCAGACGAATGAATTACCAATAAAACATTTAAATTGGACGAAATATAAGTTAATTAAAAAATAATACGTCTTCACTGCTGCATTTCTTCAACCTAGATATAGATCTACTAAAAAAAAAAACAACAGATCGTCGTGCCCATGTTTTCACTTAAAACGTTTCTTAATTCTAATGTCATGAAAAGGTTTAAAGAAACTGTTTTCAATCTGCCTATATAGTACCTGTATGAAAATCGCAGACATCCAAGGTTAATTTTAGGCGGCTGAAGTCTAAACCAAAAGAATTAATGGAAAAATTAAAATTTATTGCGAAAGCCATCTTGGTTTTCAAAATGGCTGACAACTTCCAATGTATTATATTTAACGTAAACCAGCACAAGAAGGCCTTTTCTGGGCTTGTTTTCTTTTATTATAAAAATGCAGTGATACTAATTACGACTTAAACCCGCAGCCTTAGAAAAAACATCCATTAAAACTACATTTTAATGTATTATGTCTTAACGACTTACTATTTGTTTACATGTTTATTAAAGTTTCTTAGCGTAGGTTAGACCGAAATACCGCATCCGTTCTGCACATGTGTATTTACTATTGTGTTCGAGGTCCTTATCCGAAGACCGAAAAGTTGCGATTGATGTTTTCCTCTGTTGTAAGACATTACTAGCCTATAGGCTGTTTATGGTTTATTTTTACGAGACATTTTTCCCTTAGTGAAAGACAATAAAGTTAAAAATGACGTTGACATTTATTTATTTTTCAATTAAGAAATAGATGGTCTGACCAGGGATTTATATTACAATAAATCCGCGTGGTCTGACATAAAACCATGAAGTTATATAAATCTAAACATGTTTAAAGTTATTCAATGAAATTAAGGTGATTTATACATACGACACTTTTTAAAGAAGCTACATCAATACAACAATAAAAAATAATATAAGCGGATGTTTCTTGATTCAAAAATTGACATTTCCATGTTTAAAAAATGAATTCTGCTTAGGCCGGTGCTAGGGGCCTTGGACGGTAGCTTGCAATTTCCTGTACCGTCCATAAACAGGCTCAATCAAACCGATCCTGTTTTCAATTTTGCCGTTTTGGACTTTCATCGGGGATTCTGTTGATTTCAGGTCGTTCAGTTGATGTTGCAATGACATGCATGCCAAGAGACAAAGTCGCTGGTCTGTGAAGATGACAAAGCTATTTTTAAAATATTTGCAAACGGACTTCAAATTTTAAAATGATTTAGTGCCCATTAAGGTTTACACATATGCTGTTTTATCAAAATTAAAAACTTAAATATCTAGTGGTGAATTAAATTGTGCATGTTTAATCTCAGAAACCTGACATAGATTAATTGTCCAAAAAGAATAATGACCTATTATAGTTATAGTACCATTATAATATTTTTGATAATTATTTACAGAAAAATCAATTTGTTTCAAGATCCTGTATGTTGTAATTAAAGATGTGACAACACATAAGTGAAATTTTATATATGTATGTAATTATTCTTCTAAAACAATTTCCGAACACCCAAGAATATATGAAACATTTACTGCAAATGTTTAAACGTATTGTAAGTAATCTTTAAAATATATGCATTCATTTCTTTTTAGACTTTATCAGTAATGAATTTCTAATTACGCCCTTTATTTACATGAAATATAAATTCGGTAACTTCTTTACAAAATTGCTTTTTGAAACTAACAATATTGATAAATCTTCATTTAAACATCATATTTATGATAAAAAAAACATAAAACATTTGAGTTAAAGAATCTTTAAAAGCACATTACTTTTATATTTTAAATAAAAGATGGCCGCCATAGTACTCAATGTTTAAATCATGTTTAACTATCAGCCAAGTATTCCCAAAAGTAATTGAAGCTAAATTCCATGAGGTTTAATGCACATACACAATACGCAATTAACAAGAAATAAGAAATGGTTACGGTCAACGGCGGCCATTTTGATGTGACCTTTAGAAGGGCAAGGACTTTGAGTACAGCCGTGGTAGAGCAAAACATGGGTTCAACATACCAAGATTATGTAAGAACGATTGACTACCTGCTTGTACTAAAATGCCGTTACACTCTGAACGGAGGGTCTTTTCTGAAAATCAAACTAGTCTTAAATCAAGAGACTTAACGTTATCATTTTTTTAATACCGCGGGATCGCTTGAATAAATGATTGGCGCGTGCTATTGATTTCCAATGCACACAACTTTACTAGGACGTTTTTGATATCTATTCAAATAATGATCACTACAAATTTCCTGAGACTGAGTGAAAACCATGTTTGCCAAAAATGTGAACCTCCTCGGTCTCATAAAAAAAGTATTCTATTAAAAAAGTTATGAAAAAAGTTTGAGTAAGTTAACAAGCGATGCAATCGGAACGTCCTCGGCTATTATTTATAATAACACGAAGACTGACGGAAAGGACCGAAAAGTTGCGATTGCATGACAGGTGGTATTTCAGTATAAGAACACCTTTGTGCAATCGTGTTTTCATTATTGTGTCATCGTTCCAAAAAGTTTTAATCACCGTGTTATCGTTTCATCAAGTTTTCATCATCACGTCATACTATCGTCCGTTTTCATCGTCATGTCATAGAAGCAACGCGTTTTCATCACCGTGTCAGTATCCCCTCGTTTTCATCATCGTGTCATAGAATCATCTCGTTTTCATCATCGTGTCATAGAATCATCTCGTTTTCATCATCGTGTCATAGTATCAGCTCGTGTTCATCATCGTGTCATAGTATCACCGCATTTTCATCATCGTGTCATATTATCATCTCGTTTTCATCATCGTGTCATAGTATCATCGCGTTTTCATAATCGTGTCATAGTGTCACCTCGTTTTCAACATCGTGTCATAGTATCACCTCGTTTTCATAATCGTGTCATAGTGTCACCTCGTTTTCATCATCGTGTCATAGAATCACCTTGTTTTCATCATCGTTTCATAGTATCACCGCATTCACACCATCGTGTCATAGTATAACCGCATATACATCATCGTGTCGTAGTATCACTTCGTTTTCATCTCTTAATATACCTCATTTTTATCATCGTGTCATAGTATCAACGCATTTCATCATCGTGCCATATTATCACCTCGTTTTCATCATCGTGTCATATTACCACCTCATTTTCATCATCGTGTCATAATATAACCTCGTTTTCATCATCGTGTCATAGTGTCACCTCGTTTTCATCATCGTGTCATAGTGTCACCTCGTTTTCATCATCGTGTCATAAAATCACCTTGATTCATCATCGTGTCATAGTATCACCGCATTTTCACCATCGTGTAATATTATCATCTCGTTTTAATCATCGAGTCATAGTATCACTTCGTTTTCATCATCCTGCCATATTATCACTCATTTTCATCATAGTGTCACGGTATAATTGCGTTATCAGCTGCGTGCCATTTTATCACTTCGTTTTCATCAACGTGTTATAGTACCACCCCGTTTTCATTATCGTGTCATATTATCACCACGTTTTCATCGCCGTGTTATAGTATCATCGAGTAATCATCATCGTGCACTAGTATAACCTCATTTTCATCATCATGCCATAGTACCATCGCGTTATCATCATCGTGTGAAAGTATCACTGCGTTACCGCCATCGTTTTATTTATATGTTAAATTCTGTCATTTTACAATATTTATTTCTATGTCTGGTTTGTAACATCCATTTAGTATAATAGTATTATAGTTTGTGTGTATGGGCCGGTGGCCAATTAACCTACATACAGTTTGTCTTGTATGTTATCATCATCGCGTTATCATCACTGCGTTATCATCAGCGAATGCATCGTGGTTAATGGCAAAATGAAAAGAAGTGACACCGTAATAAACAACCCGAATTCTTTATCTGTCCAAAACACTGTAGTCATGCACTTAATTCAAGTATTATTCATTGATCTTAAATCATATCTATGTAGGCATGTGGGTCGGAACGTAATCACTTGGTATCTTACTGTTTTGAGTCATATACGAATGACTTTACAGGCAGAACCAGAGGGGGTCATAAGTCAAAATGACTTCAAACATGTTTACATGCATTCATTGTTCATGTGCTTGTGATATTTTAGATTTTATTGTATACATTGGAAATATAAAAATAAATAAAAATCAACTAATTGTGAACTACAAAATAAAACTCGCCATTATTCTTGAATTTTACTAAATGTTCTTAATTAATCATATCATGAAAACCCCTACAGATATCATATGTTAAGGTGAAATCCAATTTTAAATTGTATGAACTACAAATAAAATACATTCAAGTCATGCTGTAATTAACCATTAAGCAATATGGTGTTTTTTTTTAATCGCCTTAGGGTCTTCAAAGTCGCATTTTTTTTATATTATTTAATATTATGTAATTCTATAAGTATGTCGCGTCTTAAACTAAAATGACTGTTTAAAATATAAACATTTCTTAGGATTTTACTCTGCTTAGTGATAAAATATTACGTACTTATTAGAACGCAGTGTACTGCAAAAATGTGTTATATACATTTATAAATAAATGTCAAATTCTTTAGAAATTGAGTACTGAAGAGAATGTATTTATGTCGTAATTTTTTTAAAGTTATATCCCCGCTAGGAACTAGATTGTATAGTAATAGTTGCCAACTTGCCACGGCTTATTTCTATGTGATTTGCGGTTGTGTAAATGGAAATATTAATTAATGAGCCGCGTCACGACAAAACCAACATAATGGGTTTGCATCCGCGCAGTCTGATCAGGATCCATGCTGTTCGCTTACAAAGCCTATTACAAGTAGAGAAACTGACAGCGAACAGCATTGATCTTCGCGGATGCGCAGGCTAGTCTTGATCCTTGCTGGTCGCAAACCCATTATGTTGGTTTTGCCGTGACGCGGCTCATTTCACCAGCGCCTCAAACATTGTGAGATGGGAAGTTGACAACTGCATGCGGAGGATAAGCGTTTATTCATGCATATATACGTTAATGACACAATGACAAGTAGACACAGATGCTGCTGACTCAAAACTATCTTAACGCACTATGTACTGAGTGGGTAAACAAATAAAACATGTAAACTGAAATATGAATAACGGATGTAAACAAACAAACCACACCCGGTGTACACAATATCATATACATAACATTGTATCGTGTCTTGGCTTATTTTAATTTTATATGTGTTAAATTCATGTACATTAATTGTATACTATTTCATACCAGTCAATAACAATTTTTAATGAATAATTTACATACTTATCCGTGTATACAACCGAATAAGTTAATAAATTGGCCATGTGTCAGCGATGGAAAAGTAGATAAAATAATTTGAGCCGCGTCACGACAAAACCAACATAGTGCGTTTGCGACCAGCATGGATCCAGACCAGCCTGCGCGGATGCGCAGACTGGTCTGGATCCATGCTGGTCGCAAACCCATTATGTTGGTTTTGTCGTGACGCGGCTCATTTGCACTGCATTATTTCCTATTTTCCAACACGCTTAACATCTGATAACAAGGGTCATTTAGTGGCCAGTCCCTGCATAGCCAATAACACTTTGTTTTCATTTCAAACATTGAACATAACGCGTGTACTTCATCTCAGAGGTATTAATTAAACAATTTACGGTTAAAAATACACTTTCTGTTTTCTGCAGAAAAAAAATGACCTCGTAGACAAACGGGTTCACCCTACACGATCTTAAAATGTTTATCAGCTTGTTTAGCAGTTCCTGTGGAATCTGAATGTAAACACATTGGTTGAAGCTTTTCTTTAAATGTTCAACAACCGTAGATTTTTCAGTATAAACATACATCAAGTTTGATGTTTTAATTCAATTTCTTATCATTTATTCTCAACAGACCTTCAGTTACAACTTTCACCCAATAACGACAGAGAAAATAATGTATAATTATTTTTTAAAACGATGAAGTAGTAAAAGTAAATAACCATAACAAATATACAAACTATACTAACCTTTTAAATCTTCCTTTTTCATTTAATGTACATCCTTTCACTTGAAATTTCACTGGTCCACTGAATATATTCAATTGGTATCAAGTTACTGTAGCGTAAGGAAAAGGAGACAAAAACTGTAAAGGGAATTTACTCTAAAATCAAAATGAAAATATCTACAAGAGTGCCCTCCCATTTACAAGGAAATTTGCCATATGAAATCATGGTGTACCATCAACACCATTCTCGAATATACATTGAACACAGTTATAGTGGTTGTGCTTGTAGTTTCAAAAACATAATATAATTTGTCTACAAAATAAAGTTCTTTTTTACTTGTATATCTATAAATCAACTTTATATAAGTTAATGAATATAATATAAATTGAATATGAAATAATAAAAATAAACTAACGCATACTCATACTATTTGTGTGCATGTTTATTATTATTATTATTATTATTATTATTACTATTTTTAGCAGCAGCAGCGTAGATTAGACCGAAATACTGATCGGTATCATATGCAGGTCTAAAACAAAAACTCGTGATCATCCGCTCACTCCATAGGTAATGACCTAAAAATATTATTTTTTAATTGGATCTATATTTGCACTTAACACCAATGTTCTATGTAATTATGAATTCATTTCTTTTTTCCGTTTTAACTACCCCGGTTGCCGTTTTAACTACCCCGATTGCCGTTTTAACTACCCCGGTTGATCTATGTTAGATTTTTAGATTTCATGTTTTGCGCTTTTGGACCTCTTTGAATCTCCTATGGTATGCTATAATATATATTTTAGATTGAGTTTTATTCATTTAGGGATTTGCTAAAGCAGCGACTTTGCGAGATTATCGCTTTAAAATTGAATAAATGGCATTCAATGATAGATAGAATAAGCGAGAGAAAATCGCATGTATTCTATACCATTTAATTTCTGCTGAAATATCTAGATTTCTGAACTACACGCTGTAGTTTGTTGTTTTGCTTTTGTTTTGTCGATGGTTTTCATTGACATTTCATATTATTGGATGCCTACAGATATGTAATTAAAACTTTATCATGACATCTTTTGAAATATAGGGTTCATTTCATATTATTTGAGGCCTACATCGATGTAACTAAAAACTATATCAAGACTAAAGATCTAAGCATCTTTTGAAAAATAGCGTTATTTCTGATAAACTTAAGGACTTTGAATCAGCTAAGAGGACAGTATAGGACAGGTCTGAACAACAAATTGATTCTTGACGTGTTCATTAATTTAAGTAGACCTATTTACGTATATAATTATGTTGAATATAATTTTTACATATTATAATATCTACAAATAATGCACAATATCACATAAAATACTATAGTTAGTTAACAACGTGCCTTTGTGTTACTAAACCAAATAGTTTTACATGTATGTCGCTTTAAGTCTATAATCACACATTGTTTTACCTCATGTCTGCTGTAACCTAGTCAGTGATATACATAGCATGTACATTGTATATAGGTCAGACACTGGTATTGTTAAACGGTTAGATGGAAATATCGCTTTGGGAACGGTTCAATATGACCGTCTGACCTGGATATCAATATAATCTTTCGATCAACACCAATCGCATATTCTCGGCACTTTCCGTCAAACTTGTGAATAATCGGCGAGGTAGGTGTTCTGATTAGCATAACACTTTATGCGGTTCACTGTCCGCAAGTAGATATAGCTACAAGTTAACTATGTACTACCGGCGAGTTCTGTAGATAAACAGACCATCTTTAAATGGTTCAAGATGCGTGTGTAAGTGTTAGTCAATCTAGATAAAGTCTGTGTAGATCTGTATGTAATTATTGTTTATTTCCTAAGTAGACTTTACAACTACATTTGTAATCAAAATAATTAAGACTTACCTTTCACAGAGAACAAACTGTAATCCATTCACTGTTAATTTTTAACGCAAATATCAATAGTCTGACACAGTATTGAAAAACGCTTGCAGATACAGAGCGTTGGCACCAGTCATGTCAGCTGAGGTCGTCTTTAATGAATCGATATCGAGAGAAGAGCGCATTGTTACGCCGCATATAGCTCTCGACGTGAAAGCTTTGTCCGTTGCGCTGTGGTCATACCATGCGCGCGCATCCTAAAAATTCTGATACCGCGAACATTTTTTAACCGGTATTTTGAACAACAACGAGTCAGAATAGATTTGAATTTATTTTCTTTTGCAAAGAATAAGATGTCCTTACTTATAGGTTTAATATTCGAAAAGCCTTGACACAAGTCTTCCCTTTTTCGTCAGTATTCCGCGTTGAATGCGATTCTGTATACTGTGAACACCCGGCGTTGAAATGTTACAGATATTGAGAAATTATCGATTATTTTTCTACCAGACAGTCCGTTTTGCATAATCTCATTTATTAGTGGTCATACAAGCCCCGTGTTCACAAAGAAAAGATCAGGATCAAATTATCCTGATTTTGTTTTCATTGTTAATAAAACTAAAACTGATCGTATTATGCCAGAATTATTTGAAATGTAAATAATTGCTTATTTAAAAAGAACCAACCTATTTTGGGATAAAATCAGCAAATAACAAAACAAATACAAAATAATCGGATCAAAATAAAAATTTGGATCAACTGTAAAATGCCAATATCTTGTAAAAATAACAATAAACATGCTATTTCAAGTCCAGTTTTATTAAGTTAACATTGAATATTTAATCTATGAGGATAAATAATGGAGAATATTTGATCCTGATCTTGATCCTTAAATCTTTGTGAACACGGGTCAGATGAATAAAACAAAAAGCGCATTTTTAGGAAGTTGGTCCTTACTTGCGGGCTATGAAATAGTTACTGAATTGTACTAATTTGTAATTGGGAGTTAAGTTAGGAGATCTTTTTAAACAATGGTGTAAGCACGATTTTTAAATGTTAAAATAGTCGAATGTAGCTCCTGACCTTGTTACCAAGGATAAGAGAACTCATAAAAAGAAATAAAAAGGCTAATATGTAATAGTTACCGTACGAGGAATAGGTCTGCATAGTATTTACAGACCCGGGTGGCGATTTGAGGCCGAGAGAGCGTAGCGATCGAGGTTTTTAAAAGGCCACCGGGTCTGTAAATACTATGCAGACCTATTCCGAGTGCGGTAACTATCTTACCTACATGCTTTTTTGTTTTTCTATCCATACATACATAATGTATCAGTTTTTAGCTTAGTATTTATTAATATTACTCACAAGAAACATATTATTTCTGTACTTTATCATGTTTAAGAAAGCATTCCAAAGTCAAGCAAAGATACTATCCGCTACGCTCTTGTAATTCATTCGTTCACAAATTAGGTGTTATTTGAATATTCTCGTGATTTTCGTGAGGTTTCATTATGTAATAAGATGTTGAGTTGAGTCACAGAAAATGAAAACAGAACTTGTCGAGTTGGGAAAGGTAAGATCATTATTTTGATATATGAAAACATAACATATTAATAATATAAACAAATACTGAGGAAGATAAAAATGTTTTCTAATCATAAAAACGGAACACTTTATCTTTATATATAATAAATTTCATGGTAAATAGATGATCAGACTATTTCTTATATAATTAAAATATACGATTTTTTCAAAGGAAAGTAAAAGACGGGGTTCTATGAATAAATATTAGTAATACATGTAGTTACACCTTTATGTAAGTTGGGTTTTGTTGTTGTTGTTTTTTATGATGGCTGATTTTAAATGTTCTTAGAATTTCATCCATGTTTGGAAGAATTTTCTTTCCGTGTATTCTTAATTAGCATCATCCAATATAAGACCGCATGTAAGCACGCGGTGTTGGACCGTATTTGGTACAAAAACGAATATGGTACAAATGTACCATATTCGGTCGAATATGGTACAAATGTACCATATTCGGACAGAATATGGTACAATTTTCGACCGAATATGGTACAAACATTGTACCATATTCGGTTGGAATAAGTTTTTCTATGCTCGCCAAAACGTATTTGGTACATACCAAAAAAACTCATAAAATGAAAATGGCCTACGTATATGGTACATAAACTGATATGATGATGTTGGTTTTGATGGTGATGATGATGGTGGTGTTGGTGAAGATAACAACGATGATGATCATTTGGGTGTTGATAATTGATGTGATGATAATGATGATGATGATGATGATAACAAACGTATTTTGATGATTATGACAGCGATGTTTATCGGTCGATGATGATTATTATAATGATGATGATTATGATGACAAATGTGTTTTGATGATGCTGACGGCGATTTTTATCGGTAGATTATGATGATGATGATGTGCTGACCGTCGTTATCATCATTACAAAACTTTTGTCATCATCATCACCATCGACCGAAAAACATCGCAGTTATCATCATCACATTTTTGTGATCTTCATTACGATGATGATAATGGTGATGATGATGATGGTGTTGATGATGATGATGACCTTGATGATTGTGGTGATAATGATGGTTATGATGATGACAATGATGATAAAAGCTGTGATGATGATGATGATGACGGTAATTTTGATCGTCGTCATCATCATCAAAACTTTTGTCATCATCATGACGATGATGATGATAATGGCGTTAATGGTGACGATGATGATGATGGTGTTAATGGTGACGATGATGATGTAATTGATGATGATGACAATGGTGATGATGATTGGGGTTTGATGATTGTGATGATGATAACTGCGATGTTTATCGGCCGATGATAATGATTATAATGATGATGATGAAAAAAGTTTTTTATTATGTTGACGCCAATGATTACCGGCCGCCGATGATGATGATTATGATGATGATGATGATGCTGATGATGATGATGATGATGATGACGATGATGATTATTTTCATGATGGTATTGATGACGTTGATGCAAATTGTAGTTATGATGATGATGATGATGATGATGACGATGATGATGATGACGATGACGATGATGATGGTGATGATGATGATGATGATGATGATGATGATGATGATGATGATGATGATGATAATGATGATGATGATGATGATGATGATGATGATGATTATTTTCATGATGGTATTGATGACGTTG